CTTCCAACTGAGGCCCCTCCTGGACTTGGCCCCGCTGGATTTGTCCCTTTCTGTCCCCCCCGTTCAGGGATCGGCTCTGTTTTGTATGAATCTGAATCCTGTAGGTTCATTAAAAGCTTTTCCATTTTCCTTCCTCTCTGTTTTCCTGTGGTTTGGGTGCAAACGCTGCCGTGGCTCCACGTTCTTTAACCCTTAGGGACAGAAAACATTCCCAGTCTGCTGATATTTGGGGAATTTTCCAAAGAGGAGGCAAAAAAGAGGGAATCTCAGGGCACCCCGTTTGCTGACTGTACATCTCTATCAACCTCAGCAGTGCTGGCCTGAGATGTCACCCTGCTGAGTGTCCCGTTAATTACCCCTGTTAATCAGTTTTTATTCAACCAAAGCCCTTCATGGAGTTCATTCCCTGAGAGGGGCCATGGAAAGGCTCCTGTTACTGATATTAAATCTCAGGGACACCTTCCACTAGCCCAGGTTGCTCCAAGCCCCATCCAACCTGGCCTTGGGCACTCCCAGGGATCCAGGGGCAGCCACAGCTGCTCTGGGTAACCTGTGCCAGGGCCTGCCCACCCTCACAGCCAGGAATTCCTTCCCAATCTCCCATCTCACCCTGCCCTCTGGCAGTGGGAAGCCATTCCCTGTGTCCTGTCCCTCCATCCCTCGTCCCCAGTCCCTCTCCAGCTCTGCTGGAGCCCCTTTAGGCACTGGAATTCCAGCTGTTTCAGTGAGGATTGGCATCTCATGCAGGGAAAATAACGATGTGTGTGAGACTCTCGGGGGGGAAATACAAAGAGTTGCCAGTCCCCAGGCTGCTGCTGCCCCTCATCGTTCTCATTCCTTCCAAGGTGGCCTCTCTCAGCTGCAGGGTGTGAGGTACCAGCCGAGGGGGAGGTTCTCCAGCCGGGACAGGGAATTCTTTCCATACATTTACTTAGTTTCTGTCCATTATCTGTGTCTGTCCCCCTCCTCCCAGTCTGGCTCATCCCTCTCTCCTGGTGCTGATGGGATGGGACGTGCCAGTCCCCCTGAGGATCCAAGCCCAGACATCCACCCTCCTCTAGAAAACATCCCAAGTCAAGGCCGTGCGTCCCCACGAGCGGGAGAAACAGTTTTGCATTTTTTATTTTTTTATTTTTTTTTTCTTTGCACGTTTCCAAAACGAGCTGCAAACCCAAAAATAGAACAAAGCCAGCTCCTTTGCAGCCTCCCCTCGGGCAGGACAGGCCCCGGGGCTGCCCACGGGAGGTGTGTTGGCCACTCAAGGCCACCGGTGATTAAAAGGGAGAGTCCTCCCTCCCCGGGAGCGTTTGGGATGCAGAGCTGGGAACAGCTGAGGTGGGACCATGAGAGCCGCTCTCGGGATGTTCCTGCTGTACCTGCTGCTGCTGCTCCCTCCCCTTGCGGCGCTGCCCAGGCAAGGGGACAGGAATTCCCTGAGCCCGGAGGAGCTGGAAGCGGAGGGGAGAACTAGGGAAAACGCGAGTTGGCAGGAACCAGGCAGACCCAGCTGGGCGGGGAGATCCAGGAGGGCCGCTCGCCTCTTCCCGGAGCCGGGAGCCAAGTGCCTGCAGGGAACGGCCGGGGAGGGATGGCCCCGCTCCCGCCAGCACCCCTGGCCGCTGGGGGGGCTGGAAGGGCCGGTGTGCAGGGTGAGGATGGAGCAGGACGGGGTCGCCCCGGGCCACCTGGACGTGGTTGGGGTCCTCACCCACTACGAGAGCGGCTTCATCAAAGTGCTGCGGCGGCGCCGCGCCTGGGACGGGAATGTCCGGCGGAGCTTCGGGCTGTGCCCGGCCCCGGAGGCGGGAGCGGCTCCCCATCCCCTGCAGCGCATCCACGGGCACCTGGTGGAGCCGGGCCCGGAGCGATTCCTCGTCCTGCACCTGGAGGAAGGTTGGTGGGACATCCTTGCTCCGGGCAGGAGCACAGAGGGGAGGATGCGGGGCTTTTGGGATGGGGATGGGTGATGCTGTTTGCTGGCCCCGAGTCAGATTTAAACACGGAATTAAACCTGAGGGGTTGGATTCCCTTTAAAATAAGGGAAAGACATTGTAAGTGCTAAATCTTTTAAAAGCACTGTAAAATCGGCACTTCACTGCGTCTTTCTGGGTACGTTTTTAAGGAGGTTTAGCAGGGATGATGGATTGAGCAACAGGGCACCTGTCCCTGCCTCTGTCCCTGCCTGTGACACCGGGGTGTCACATTCTAGGTGGTCTCTGCTCTCGAGATGATAAGTGTTTCTCGCTTTCTGCCTCAGTGATGTGGGTTTGGACACTGTCCCAACCCCGAGAAGAGAGGAGAGGGTCGGACCCGGCTGGTCCCGCTGTGCCCTGAGCCCACTCCCACACCGGGGGCTGTGGAGCCGCTCAGGCTTAGGGAAAAACCAGGAACACCTTCCCATGTCCCATCGCGGGGGTGAGCCCGGCGCTGCAGGGGGAGCACAACCTGCTGTTTTATCTCTAGCAAGAGAGTTCCCTCTTCCTGAAATCCCTTCCCCCCATCCCGCGGTTTGGAATTGCAGCTGAACTCTCCAGGCCGGGGCAGTGGCCACAATGTCCCCTCAGCCACTGGAGACGCTCCGATGACAACTTTCCATGGGGACCTGGGGGTGGCAGCCCCTGCTCTCCCGGTGCAGGGTTTGCCTCCTGCCACCTCCCTGGGGCCGGGGACAGGGATTTGCCGTGGTTTTTCCACCCTGTCCCTGCTGTCCCAGCTCTGCGTGGGAACGGGGCTCAGCCCTGAAGTCCCTTCCTCACCCCCCGGAGTCCCTGCGGTGCCGGGGGGGATTCAGGCATTCACCCCGTGTCTCCCCCCGTTCCAGTGCAGTGGGAAGCGCAGGCCAAGCTGCGGTTCCAGCTGGTTTTCCAGGCGGAGCTGGGCCGGGCGCTGGGGGAGCTGCAGGCGGCCGCGATGCTCTTCTACCTGGGCCGGCCCGAGGGCTCCGGGCGCCCGCAGGAGCTGCTGGTCACGGGCCCGGGGCTGGCGAGGGACCAGGTGGGTCGGGGGGACCGGGCCGGGGTGGGATTGGGGTGAGAATGTCCCGGCTCTGCTACCCAGCACCGTTGCCATCCCCTCGCAGTCCATTCCCCATCCTTTCCCAGTCCCTTTGCCAATCCTTGCAACTCCTTTGCTCCTCACAGTCCCTTTTCCACCCCTCCCAGTGCTGTTGCCATCCCCTCCCAGTCCATCCACCATCCTTTCCCAGCCCCTTTGCCACGCCCTCCAGCTCCTGTGCCATCCTCTCCCAGTCCCTTTGCCAGCCCTTCCCAGTCCATTCACAATCCCCTCACAGCCCCTTTGCCATTCCCTGCAGCGACTTTGCTCCTCACAGTTCTTTTGCCACCCCCTCCCAGTCCCTTCACCGTCACCTCCCAGCTCCTTCATGATCCCCTCCCAGTTCATTCCCCATCCCTCTCCAGTCCCTTTGCCACCCCCTGCAACTCCTTTGCTCCTCACAGTCCCTTTTCCACCCCTCCCAGTGCTTTTGCAATCCCCTCCCAGTCCATTCACCACCCTTTCCTACCCCCTCCAGTCCCTTTGGCATCATCTCACAGTCCCTTGGCCAACCCTTCCCATCCCTTTGCCATCCCATCCCGGCATTCCCGCCCCGTCTGTGCCTCCCTCCGGCCGGGCCGTGCCTGCAGATGGAGCTCTTATCCCATTCCCAGCTCCCGAAGGGCCGGAGGGGCTGCCCGGGGTGCCTAGCCCGGTCTGGGGGTCCCACTCCCCCGCCTGCCCCGGGGCTCTCTGCCCACCCGGGGGTCCCGTGGGCTCCCAGAGCAGCTCCGGGCTTGGGAACAAAGCCACCGTCCCGGGGCCACCGCGAGCTGGGTGACCCTGGGCCCGCAGGGACCCACGTGTGGGTGTGTGCCCGGGATGTCTCACCCACGTCCCGGCTCTGCCGTGTCTCCCACCCCCACGCAGAGGCTCTGCCTGTCCAGGGACACCCAGTACCTGGTCCTGGGAGCCGCCGCCGGCTCCGTCACCCGTGGCCCGGAGCAGCTCCGCTTCTCGGCATCGCTGACGCTCCGCGGGGCAGAGGGAGGTACGGACCGGGGGGGACCCGCTTCTGGGGTCCTCTCCACCCCCGAGGGAGTGGGGACATGCCGCAGATCCAGATCACCGCCCTCACCGCTCCTCGCCCCCCCCCAGGTGCCCCCCTGCCCCCCTCGGAGGTGCAGCAGCTCCTGTTCGGCTCCGACGACAAGTGCTTCACCCGCATGACTCCGGTGCTGCTGCTGCTGGCCAAGGCACGGCGCGGGGAGGAGGAGGAGGAGGCGGCTTTGGCCCCTTCCTCCTACCTCTCTGCTGACGGGGTGCTGGACACGGCTCCGTACCCACAGCTCAGGTCCGTGGCCTTAGGAACGGGAAAACACAGGGAGTGGGAGGCAGGGGACGAGGGACCACGGCAGGAGGATGAGGGGCACGACCTGGCGAGACCTCCAGGGTGCACGAGGACCCCGTGACCCTCCCTGTGTTCTCCTTGCAGCCCACCCCAGGCCGGGACCGAGGAGCTGCCGACCCCCACGGGCCCGAGCCAGGCCAACGCTTCATCCCCAGCTCCCGGGAGCAGCAGCCAGTTCCTGGGAATGCTGACCCGCTTCATCCGGCAGGTCCTGAGCTCCTCCAGCGAGCCGCCCCCCCAGCCCAGCGCCCACCACTGGCTGGACTTCCAGGCTATGGAGACCCTCCCTCACCAGCTGCTCAACCTGTCGGGGGAGGCGGCGCTGGAGCGGCTGGTGCAGTCGGAGGAGCCCTCGGTGCTGCTGTTCCCGCAGGACAGCGGGGCCGTGCTGGAGCAGCTCCTGGGGCACTGGCAGCCCGAGGGCACCGTGCTGGAGCTGCTCACGGGCAAACTGCGCGGGGTCATCCAGGAGCTGGGGGACATCCCGGCTTTCCAGGCCAACACGGCGCTTTTCCAGCGCCTCCTGAGCTTCTGCTACTTCCCGCGGGGCGGGGAGGAGGGCGAGGCCCCGGAGCGGGTGCCGGGCTCCAGGAAGCTGCACACGCTGCTGCTGCTGAAGGCGCTGCAGTCGGTGCGGGCGCGGTGGCAGGAGCGCAGGAAGGTGCAGCGGCAGCACCGCAGCGCCCGCCCCCCCTCCCACTGCCGCCTGCAGGAGCTCACCATCGACCTGCACGACCGCAAGTTCATCGTCATGCCCACCGTGTACGCGGCCAACAACTGCGAGGGGCCCTGCAGGCTGCCCCTGTCCACCCGCGTGCCCAGCTACTACTCGCACACGGTGCTGCTGCTGGGGATGCAGGAGCGGGGGTCGCCGCTGCAGCGCCCGCCCTGCTGCGTCCCGGTGCGCTACTCCGACCAGCTCATCATCAGCCTCTCGCCCGAGGGGCTGGAGGTCCGCAAGTTCCCCAACATGGTGGCAGAGGAGTGTGGATGTCGGTGAGGCTCCTCCCGGTCCGCCTCTCCCCACACCCCTCGCAGCCGGAGCTGGCGCTTCCCGTGCAGACGGGAGCTCCTGGGTGTCCTTTCCCCACGGTTTGGCTCTTTAGTGTCTCTCTCTGGTTTCTCTGGTGTCTCCTTTGCTCCTCACGGTCGCTTTTCCATCCCTCCCATCCCCTGCTGCCATCCCCTCCCAGCGACTTTGCCATCCTCTCGCAGTCCCCTCACCATCTCCTCCCAGTCCCTCCCTGATCCCTTCCCAGCCCCTTTGCCACCCCCTGCAGCTCCTTTGCTCCTCACGGTCCCTCTGCAGCTGGAGCTGCCTGTCCCCTGGTGTGTCCCCACTCCTGATTTTGGGGACACCTGCAGGGCTGAGCTGCCGCGGGCTCTGACCCCGTGGAGGGGCTGTGGGGCCGTGGGGGGAGGGCAAAGCCTGGGCAGATCCAGCCAGGGCTGCGCTTATTTATCCCTCCCTTTCTGCTCCCGTAGGGGTTGGGAAGGGCAGGTGTTGCTTCCTCCAAGCCTCGCAGCATCCCCTGGCCATTTCCCAGCCCATCATTAGCCCCCCCCTGGCCACTCGACTCCCAGAGCAAGAGGACAAATGCCCTGGCAGGGACCAGCCCTGTGTGAGTGGGGCCGTGGGGACCCACTGGCCGTGGCCTGGGGCTCCTGGCCAGGTCACACCCATGGCACCCTGCCCTGACCCCGCTCCCAGAGGGAGGGAGGGAGGGAGTGATCCCGTTACACCTCCCGGGCTCTCACACCATTAATGGGAGCGCGAGCAAACGGCTGCCAGAGCACCTGCTCTGTGTCCCCGCCGGCATCAGCACCCGGATCATCTTACCAGCTGAGCCCAGCCCTCAGACAGGGAGCCAAACCCTTGGGAAGCAGCTCCTGAGCTTGTCCCTGGCTGCACCTCCCAGTGCTGGGAGCAGCCCTTGGGCTTTGCAGTGTCCCCACGGGCTGAGTTGGCACCCACTGCCCCCTGTCCTGCAGCCCTACAGGGACACCTGGGTTAGCCCTGAGCCCCTCAGGGCTGGGGGGCACAGAAAACACACCCACACGGCCAGGGAGAAGGGCTTTTCTCGGTGTTTCTTTCCTTTCTTTCCCCCCCCTTTTTTTTTTTTTTTTAAACATCCAGTTGAACACCTTATTAAAAATGAAAACAGTTTATTTTAACCTCTGTTGACTCGGCAAATACCGAGACCTGCCGTGGGCTGGGGCTGTGAACGTCTCCTGCAGTGGCTCCAGTGCTGGGTGAGGTTGCCCTCGTGTTTCCTTCCTGAAAGGTGAAGGCAAAGCCTGAAGGGATCCCCAGCGAGGGGCTCCAACCTGGTTCTGTTTCCTGCAAGTTTCCTGCCACCCTGAGTGATGGCACCGAGTGAGGGTCGAGGGGGTCCTGTCCCCGATGTCCCTCTGGTTCTGTAACCCAGGATATTCTTCTCTCTTGATTTGCTTTGAATAAAACCAGTAACTGAAGAGCTGCACAGTCTGGAGACCGACTCTGTTCCCTGGGGTCAGTGGGACCCCACTGTGGTGCCCCGGGTGGAAATGACCCCGTGGGCGGAGAGGACCTGCAGGGGGATTTCGGGTGGGGACAGGGCAGTGACACAAAGCCCAAGAGAAGCTCCTTTCCCGGGTCCTTCCAGGTCACCTTTGGCCGTTTGATCCAGGGGGGCCCAAAGCTCCCGGGGAGGCTCGTGCCAGGCTCCTGGGCTGCTCTGCTGCTGCCCAGGGATCCTGGGGTGCTGCCCATCACCCAGGGGTGTCTCTGGGGAACAGGCAGGAGCGGGGGGCAGTGGCGGGCATGGATCCCCCTGGATCCCCCTGGATCCCCCTGGATCCCCCTGGATCCGGTGTCATGGAGCCCCTCGGCCACCCCGGCCTCAGTCGCGCCTCTTGCCCTCCCTGGCCCTGCCGTCCTTGCCCGGAGCTGATTCCCAGGGTTTCCTGCCCTTCTGCTGCTTCCAGTCCCTCCTGGGGCTCTCCCGGCCGGGACGGCCCTTTCCCCCCTCCCTCCTGGGCTCGTCCCGTTCCCGCCGGCTCTCCTTCCTCTCCTTCCTCTCCTTCCTCTCCTTCTTCTCCTTCCTCTCCCGGTCCCGTTTCTTCTGGGGCTGCTGCTCGGGCTCCCTGGGGGTCCTGGGGGTTCTGCCAGGTTTGTCCCCTGGTGTCCTGTCCTTGGCTCGTGCCTCTCTCCGGCTGCTCCGCTCGGCATGGGTGGTACGGCCTTCCCGGGCCTTCTTCTCCTCCTTCTTCTCCTTTTTCTTCTTCTCCTCCTTCTCCTCCTCTTCTTCCTGCTCCTCCTCCTCCTCTTCTTCCTCCTCCTCCTCCTCCTTCTCCTCCTCTTTCTCCTCCTTTTCTTCCTCATCCTCCTCTTCCTTTTCTTCCTCCTCCTCCTCCTCCTCCTTTTCTTCCTCCTCTTCCTCCTTCTCCACCTCCTTCTCCATCTTCTTCTCCTGCTTCTCCTGGCTCTTCTTCACCTCTGTTGCAGCTGGTGGCACCTCGGGGACATCCGTGGGTTCTTCATCCTTGTCCTCATCCTCACCCTCGTCCTCGTCTTCATCCTTGTCCCCATCCTTGTCCCCATCCTTGTCCTCGTCCTTGTCCTCATCCTCTGGGGTCGAGCGGCCAAACCACTTCTTGAAGATCCAGGGCTCTCCCTGTGTGGGGACAGAGGGGACCAGGACGTGGTGACACAGCCCCAGGGATGGGACCCTCCTCCATCCCCCCCCCCAGGGATAAGATGCTCCCCCCCAGCCCCGTACCAGGTTGCTGTCGGCTTCGCTGTCATCGTCATCCTCCTCCTCCTCCTCCTCATCTCCGCCCCCCTCCACCGCGCTGCTCTCCGGAGGGACGGGCTGGGCTGTGCCCACCTCTGGGACCTCCTCCTTGGGGCTCAGCACCTCTGGGAGGGGAGAAGGACAGGCCATGGGTGTTTGGGTGGGATGTCACAGGCACGGGCCACCCCACCCTGGGACGTGGCCCCAGCTCAGGCTGGATCTGTGGGACTGGGACCACACGGAGCTCTGAACCCACCGGGAAGGGGAGGGGGTGCTGGTGGAGGCTCCTGCCTCAGGCCTCGGGCGATCCCCTCCTTGGAACATGGTGCTGGAAGAGAGGAGGGCGGAGGGGCAGGGGGTGGCAGCAGGGTCTGACCACCCTGTCCCCCTCCCCGCAGCCCCCAGCTCACCTTGGAGCACCTGGAAGGTGACGCTGAGCAGGGCCACCACCGAGGCCACCAGGATGCACTTGTTGAGGGTGAGCCCTTCCCAGAGCAGCGGCTCCTCCGAGGGGTCCAGGCTGGGGGGCTCAGCCTTGCTCTGCACAGGGAGGCTCCTG